TATAAGAATTGAAGTCGGTTTTGTTTTTTGCTTAAAAATTACTTGTTGATGTTTCATTGAGCATTTTAATACCAAACGAGTATACATACATACATACATATATACGTGTGATTTGGGATACTCGTCACCAGCATTAGAAAAATATGTTTGCGCATTTGTTATTGTTTTTGTTTTGATTTCATTTGCCGCAGCGGACACTAGATAGCTTTTAGCCATAGGTCAGCACTTCTGGCACGAAGTTCATTTAACATTTGGATGATGCAGTTGCATCAAGTTTATATATATATATGTATATGTACATTTATGTATGTGCATACATATCCCACTGGGAAAATAGGTAAGCACCTTACGAGGTAAGCCATGTTTTCTTTCAGTTTTTAGTACCAAAATTGTCATCATGGCCAATGTCATCTACTAGTAAAGCACAAAATGAACACCTCCAACGACACATTACGTTGTCAGTTGCAAAGTAACGTGCAGCCGAAGTTATCTCCAAGCGCCGAACTACTCCGAGCGACTTCTCTGCATTACACGTAACTTACTTTGTAAAGCGGCTCAGAAGTATGTCTGATACCAAATGTACATTCTAAATTCCTAATTACATAAGGCGGCCATGCCTTTGTAAAAGTAAGGGACGTTCGGCAGGGAAATGGCAAAGACTGCCAGGTGAAGAGTAAGTTGCTAATAAGGTATTATTACGTGCTCCTAATTCCCACTGGGATATGAATAAAGATATCTATGTATGTACAAAAATATCTGATTATTGGCACATATCACATCGTGACCATTATCGCTTATTGAACAAGTAGGAATAATCCGACTAATGGCCGGCTAAATTCCTCAACACCCTCATCGATTGAGATAAAACGTTTCTCAACAATTCCATGACATTGGCAAACGCATCACATCATCATCAGCATCAGCATAACGAAGCGACGGCACACAGAGCTGACAGTTCATATAAGAGCAGATGTGAATGTACATAAGGCTGGGCTTGTTCCTGTACAGAAAAAAGTTAGTTTGATTGCTTCCTTTGCGAGTTTGAGAGGTAATAAAAATAATCAGCCTTGGCCAGTCCTAAAAACAGCCACCATTGAAATTGTATATCGTTGAAAAAGTTATTTTTAATTACTAAACACAATAAATTGTAATAACTCAAATTTTACTACACTTCATAAAACTTTATTGCTCATAAATTAGAAGTTTTAGTAAGCGAAGATTTTTTCACATTAACAACAAATAAATAAATCAACAAAAAAGTTACAGCGACTCGCAATTTCGCCATTTTACACCTACAGACTAAACATTTTTATCACTCATACGTCACTACATGCGAGTAACTTAGGCTGGGAAGCAAGTAATTAAGTACATATATGATTTTTGGTGT